ATGCCCGCTGAACCCATAACATCCATTCATTTATTGCTTTATTACTGATTTATTACTGATTTTTAGGACGTCTGTCTTTTTTTTTTTTCTATCTGTTGTTGTTGTTGTTATTTTTTTATTATTATTATTATTTTCTTTATAATCTCCTTTTTTTCCTACTCCCTCTTCCTCCCCCCTGGCCCCAAAATGAACTCCGTGTTTTGAACCCACTCCTCCTACAGGTACAATAAAGACTTTCCCCACTCTCTCGGGGGAGAGAAAGAGAATTCATCACTTAATTAATTTAATTAACGCCTCCCTCACCTCACAGCATCTCTCCTGTGCACCAAATTTTGAAGGAAAAAAAAAACCCGGAAGGAGAAACGTTTGGGAAAATCTCACCTTGAAATGGAAGCGATTTTGTGTCTGGTATTCGGCAGTGAGGAGAACGGTGTTGATGTCACCCCCAAAAAGCGAAGGTGAGGAGAAACGGGTCAGCGTTGCTTGAAATCCTTGGAGAAAAGAACAAATTAAACCAAATCCAACCCAAATCTAAATCTACTCAAAGCCCAGTCCAATCCTAAGAGTACCCGAAGCCAACCCAACTCAAACTCAACCCTAAAACCAACCCTAAACCCAAGCCGTACTGAAACGTACCCACACTCAACCCAAACCCAACCCTAAATCCTACAAACCCAAAGCCGTTCCCAAATCTGAACCCGTTCAACTCCAAATCCAACCCCAAAAAACAAACCCAATCCAACCCAAACATAAACCAACCCAGCTCCAACCCAACACCAAACTCAACCCAAACCCCAAATCCAACTCGAAATTCCAAACCCAAAACAAAACCCTAAACCCAACTCGAAAACCAACCCCAACTTGAACCTATCCAACATCAAATCCAACCCCAAATCCACCCCAAGACCCCACAGCCAATCCCAAACCCAAACTAACCCAAACAGAAACCTGTCCAGCTCCAAACCAAACCCAACATTAATACCAAATCCAACCCAAAACCCCAAAACCAACCCCAAATCCTACTAGAAGCCCAACCCAAAACCCAACCTAACTCCAACACAAACCTCAAATCCAACCCCAACACAAAATCCCAAACCAAACCCCAAATCCCAAATCCAATCCCAAGCTGATTCTACCCAACACTAAATCCAACCCTTACCCTAAATCCCAAACCCAACTCAAAACCCCAAACCCAATCCCAAGCTGAACCTACCCAATCCCAAATCCAAGCTCAAACCCAACTCCAAACCTCAAACCCAACCTGAAACCCCAAATGCAATCCCAAGCTGAACCTACTCAATCCCAAATCCAATCTCAAACCCAACTCCAAACCTCAAACCCAACCTGAAACCCCAAACCCAATCCCAAGCTGAACCTACCCAATCCCAAATGCAAGCTCAAACCCAATTCCTAACCCCAAACCCAACCTGAAACCCCAAATCCAATCCCAAGCCGACCCTACTCAATCCCAAATCCGAGCTCAAACCCAACTCCAAACCCCAAACCCAACCTGAAACCCCAAATCCAATGCTAAACCCAAACCCAACTCCAACCCAACATCGACCCCACCCCCAAACTCATCCCGAAATCCCAAATCCAACTCAACTCCAAACCAACCCAAACTGAAACCCACTCAAACCAAACCCAACCCAACCGCAATCCTAAGCCCTAAACCCACCCAACCTCAGCCCCAAAACCCCAAATAAACCTCAAACCCAGTTTGGGGATCGTGGAGCTCACCCTGCTGCGTCGCCCGCTGCTCTCCCTCCACCCTATAGCCATGGTTGGAGGAGAAGAAGCACCAGGGGACACTGGTGTCACTCTGGGGGCTCCAGCAGCACCCACGGAGGTTGCACAGGTTCTGATCCAAACAGAGCCAAAAAAAAAAAAAAAAAAAAAGGTGATTTTTACCCCAAAAAATCCCATATTGTGACACGGATTTGGAAAAGTGAAAGTTGGGAATGTTGGCTTCGTTTTCCATCCATTCACCTCCGCCTCCGAAAATCCCAGTGGGAAGCAGAGCGTCAAAAAAGACAGAAAGGTTTTGGGGGGTAGAAAAAAATAAGTAAGGAAAAAAAGATTTAAAAAAAAAAAAAAGAGGATTTGGAGACGTTTCTTTCTTAAGGCCAGGATAAAAAAGTGTTGGGTTTTTGGCTGGGGGAATTGAAGGAATGATTGCTGTGGGATGAATGCGGTCGCGCATCGAGGATCGAATGGGAGCAGAGGTTTGGGGTTAAAAATAATAAGAATTGGGATTTGTTCTGCGTTATTTCTGACTGAAGAAGAAAAAAAAAAAATAATAAAAAAATGATTTTTTTTAAAAAAAATGAAGAAATAAATAAAAATAAAACCCTAAACTCACGTTGGAAATGGACGCGAGATTTCCAGCCCCACACACTTCCATTTCCTTTCATTCTGCTGTAAGAAATGCAGGTTTTCACCCCATTTTTTTTTTTAATATATTTCACCTTCGGCAGCAAAGTTGTGTCACCTGTTCCAATCAAAGCCCTTTCTTTTTTTTTATATATTGATTTGGCCTCAATTCTGCCCTCCAAACCACCAAAATTTGGTTCTTTAGCTGAAAACTCTTCGCACCGCTTCGGTGACCGCAAATAGGAAACGTCCTTTTGTTGTTTTTTTTTCCTTAACTTTATGTTAAAAAGGAAAACCTACAATTGAGTGAGCAATCTCCCCATCTCCCACTTTTTCTGAGTGCTTTTCTTGTTGTTTTTTACCTCCTGCTGTTCCTCCCTTCCCTCCAGACTGAAAACGATGGACATGAGAACACTGAGCCGCGAGCATTTCCATCAGCAGCCTTCAAATAAATCCATTTTAAGGCTTTTGTGGAGGGGGAAATTGGTGCAGAGCAAAGAATTTTCCTTCCTACCGACGCTGGGCCAGAGTCCTCCCGATCAAAAGGGCTCTGGCTGTGATTAGAGCCTGATAAGAGCTATAATTTCATATCAATATTTAAGCTCGCCGCGCCCTCTGGGGTGATAAGAGGGACCAAAAAGCACAGCTTTGCTCCCTGGGTGACTCCAATCGGGGTGATAATTGTGTGAACGTTGCTCCCTGCCCCAGCATGGAGCTGTGATACGGATGGGAGAACGTGAGGTCGCCGATATCAGCGACATTTCAAGGACCCACGGCGTTGCTGGCATTCTTTCCATCACCGTGGCAGATAAGGGGAGGCTGGCACTCCGTAGTTCTTCTGATTGGGTTTACTTTAATTAATTTATTTAGGGGCGTTTGGGGTGAGGAAGATCATTGAGATGAGGAAGTTTGTGGCTGTTGTTGTATCGAATCATTGGCTTGGGTTTTTTTTTCCCCTTAATTTTTTTTTTTTTTTCACCCTAAGGGAATTTGGGGTGAAAAAGAAAATTGAAATGCGGTGCTCAATAGTTCTCATTATATGAGCTCTTTTTTTTTTTCTTCTTCTTCTTCTTCTTAATTATTTTTTAAGGGTACTTAAAAGTTGAGGTGTGGTAAAGTATGGGGTAACAGAAGTGGGAATTTTGGAAGCTGGTGATTAGGCAGAAATTGGCTTAATGGGAAAGGAAATGAAAAGGGAGGGGGGAAAAAAAGGAGAAAAGAAGGAAAGAAAGGGGGGAAAGGGAAGGAGAAAGGAAAGGAAAAGAAAGGGAAGAAAAAGATAAATGGAAAAGGAGGAAAAAGGGAAGGAGAAAGGAAAGGAAAAGGAAAACAAGGGGGAGAAAAAGATAAATGGAAAAGGAGGAAAAAAGGAAGGGGAAAGGAAAGGAAAAGGAAAACAAGGGGGAGAAAAAGATAAATGGAAAAGGAGGAAAAAGGGAAGGAGAAAGGAAAGGAAAAGGAAAACGAGGGGAAGAAAAAGATAAATGAAAAAGGAGGAAAAAGGGAAGGAAAGGATGAAAGGAAAGAAAAGAAAAAAGGAAAAAGAAGAAAAGGAAATGAAAAAGGAAAAAAAAAAAGGGAGATTGAAAATTTTGGGTTTGATATTTTCAGATTTGAAGATTTCAGGTTTGAATTTCTCTCATTCTGTAAATTGGGGTCTGAAAATTTCGGATTTGATATTTTCAGATTCGAAGATTTCAGGTTTGAATTTTTGTCATTGTTCTGTAAATTGGGGTCTGAAAATTTTGGATTTGATACTTTCAGATTCGAAGATTTCAGGTTTGAATTTCTGTCATTGTTCTGTAAATTGGGCTCTGAAAATTTCAGATTTGATATTTTCAGATTTGAAGATTTCAGGTTTGAATTTCTGTCACTGTTCAGTAAATTGGGGTCTGAAAATTTCGGATTTGATATTTTCAGATTTGAAAATTTCAGGTTTGAATTTCTGTCGTTCTGTAAATTTGGGGCTGAAATTTCAGATTTGGTATTTTCAGATTTGAAGATTTCAAGTTTGAATTTCTGTCATCGTTCTGAAAATTGGGGTCTGAAAATTTCGGATTTGATATTTTCAGATTCGAAGATTTCAGGTTTGAATTTCTGTCATTCTGTAAATTGGGGTCTGAAAAATTCCGATATTTTCAGATTTGAAGATTTCAGGTTTGAATTTCTGTCATTGTTCTGTAAATTGGGGTCTGAAAATTTTGGGTTTGATATTTTCAGATTTGAAGATTTCAGGTTTGAATTTCTGTCATTCTGTAAATTGGGGTCTGAAAATTTCGGATATTTTCAGATTCGAAGAATTCAGGTTTGAATTTCTGTCGTTGTTCTGTAAATTGGGGTCTGAAAATTTCGGATATTTTCAGATTTGAAGATTTCAAGTTTGAATTTCTGTCATCGTTCTGTAAATTGGGGTCTGAAATTTTGGATTTGATATTTTCAGATTCGAAGTTTTCAGGTTTGAATTTCTCTCATTCTGTAAATTGGGGTCTGAAAATTTTGGATACTTTCAGATTCGAAGATTTCAGGTTTGAATTTCTGTCATTGTTCAGTAAATTGGGGTCTAAATTTCTCTCATTCTGTAAATTAGGGTCTGAAAATTTTGGGTTTGATATTTTCAGATTTGAAGATTTCAGGTTTGAATTTCTGTCATTGTTCTGTAAATTGGGGTCTGAAAATTTTGGATTTGATATTTTCAGATTCGAAGATTTCAGGTTTGAATTTCTCTCATTCTGTAAATTGGGGTCTGAAAATTTCGGATACTTTCAGATTCGAAGATTTCAGGTTTGAATTTCTGTCATTGTTCAGTAAGTTGGGGTCTGAAATTTTCGGATTTGATATTTTCAGATTCGAAGATCTCAGGTTTGATTTTTTTGTTCTGAAAACTCAGGTTTGAAAATTTCGGATTCCACATTTTTGTGATTTTGAAAACCCAAAATGGAAATTTGGGGCGTCGTTGCGTTGCTGCTGTCAACATTTGCACGTAAGCAAAAACTGGAGTTGCTCAATGGTTCAAAACGCATTGAGCAAAACTACCTCAGATTTCTCCACTGTTTTGGGGTAAAAAATGTGGATTTTTACGTATTCTGGAATATTTTCACACCTTGGTGGCGATTTGATCCGGAATGCAGTCGATCCTCTCTGCTATTTCCACACTCGGGCAACTTGCAGAGAATTCTGCAAGGATCAGAACTTCCTCTCAGCATTTCCCAAATTTCTGTTCCCCCAAAATCTCCCCGCATTTCCGTTTTCCCCTAAATTTTCAATTCAGGTCCCGCAAATTTCGATTCATCCTTCAAATTCCCCAAAATTTCAATTTCCCCCCAAATTTTTCAATTCCCCCAATGTTTCACTTTCCCAAAAATTTCAATTCCCCCTCCCCAAAGTTTGAATTCTCCCCAAAAGTTTCACTTTCCCCAAAACTTCGATTTCCCCAAAATCTCAATTCCCCCAAATTTTCGCCCACATTTCAGTTACCTAAAATGTCAATTCC